AACAATGGTATAAAATAACAATGTGTTGTACTTGATACCATAATAATTCAATTAATAATTTAAAATTTTGCTCAAAGTTGCCCAACGTCTAAGATAGCGGAATTTAATCCTTAGGTAATATGGTTTTAAATGGTACAAAAATTAGCTGCTACTAGCTGCGATTAATAAAGCAAATTTAATATAAACATTTCAGTTTATGTTTAATCTCGGGCAACAGATATGATCGATCGTAGCGACACGTCTAGCATCGATCGATAAACTCATTGATCGTTCAATTATTTTCAACGCGTCGAGAGTGTTACGTATATTTGTGCAGTAATTATTTTATAAAAATTTCTTTAATTTGTTTAATTTAATTTGTTTAATTTAATTTGTTTAATTTAATTTCTTTAATTGTTTAATTTAGTTTAAAAAAATGGAAAATATTAATACTAATGGTGATCTTTATAATTACATACTCCAATTAAATTATAGTTTTAACAATTATAAACCAATTACAAGCGAAATTCTTAACCTCATTTCTTCAGTTGACATGTCGGAGGAAATGTTAAATGCGATTAAAGGTAAAATAAGGAAGTTTTTGGTTAATTTACATAAAAGATGGATAACAGCGCGTCGTAATAAGGATTACTTTTTAAAAGACAACAAGGAATGGCTAGAGATGAAATTTTCCTTTCCAGAACAACGGGCCAATACAAAAATATCAAACTCCTTTAATCAAAAACCATTCACCGAATGTTCCGAACGACATAAAATGCGCAGGACAGAAGAGCTTAGAAATAATTTCACAAGCGAAGAACTCATGTTTGCAGCCAAAATTACCTCCAGGAAAGAAGGAAAACACGACATTGCAAAAATTTTAGAATTCCTTTTAAGAAATCCAACGGAAATTCAGAAGGTGAGAAATTTTTGTGAAGAGAAGTGTCCGAAAACCGAATTGTACAGTAAAGAGAAAGCTTTATCTCTTATGACTACTTTAGACCTTTTCTAGTCACAATACAGAATGTTGAGAGATATTTCGAGTGAAGGTGGGACAAACCAATATCCATCATATTATGCCATTCAAAAAGCTAAATTAGACTGCTATCCGGAAAAGGAATCAATTTATATTACTGAGAGAGGGGCATCTATAAAATTGCAGTCTTTGTTAAATCATACAGTACTTCGAATATTGGCTACAATACAAGTAAATAATAATAATAATAATAATAATGATAATAATGATAGTAATAGTAATAATAATAATAATAGTGATAGTAATAGTAACAACAACAACAACAATAATAGAAGCGATAGTAATAACAATAATAAATTAGTTTTAATTTCAAAATGGGGATGTGATGGTGCTTCTAGTCAAAGCATGTACAAACAAAGATTTTCAAGTGAAGGTGATAACGATGATTCTGCGATATTTGTATCAACGTTAGTTCCAATAAAATTATTCAACCCAAGCAATGAAAAAATATTATGGCACAACCCAACACCTTCTTCCACATCCTTCTGTAGACCTATAAAATTTACATTTTGCAAAGAAACACCTGAGGTCATTCACACAGAAGTTGAACGCATTAACGAAGAAATATCGTCGTTAATTCCTACAGTCATTAATTCGACTGAAATTAGTCACCAATTAGTCATGACAATGGTAGACGGAAAAATCTGTAATGTGTTGTCAGAAACGAGTTCCGCTATGAGATGTTACATTTGCGGTGCAACACCAAAGTGTATGAACGATTTGACACAAATTGATAAAAATTCATGTAACGAGAGATACTATAAATTTGGACTATCCCCTTTACACGCCAAACTTCGTTTTTTTGAATGCCTCTTACACCTATCATATAACCTTGATTTTAAAAAGTGGTCAGCTTCTAGACCTGAATATAAAAAACTACAAGCAGACAAAAAATTATTGGTTCAAACAAAATTTCGCTGCGAATTAGGGTTAATTGTAGACCGGGTTAAACAAGGAGGTGGGACCTTTAACGACAGCAATACCGCATGAAGATTCTTCAAAAATCCGAAAATCACAGCTCAAATAACAGGAGTAAATGAAAATATAATACACAGATTTTCCGTCATTCTTCAGGTCATATCGTCTGGACAAAAAATTAATGTTAAAAAATTCGGTCATTATTCTTACGAAACTGCTAAATTATTTGTAACACTTTATCCCTGGTACTACATGCCCGTAACAGTACATAAGATTTTAATGCACGGAGAAAAGATTATTGAAGAGGCAATAGTTCCCATTGGTCAGTTATCAGAAGAAGCTCAGGAAGCTCGTGATAAAGAATTTAGAAAATTCCGGGAATATAAGTCAAGAAAGTGTAATAGACAATCAACCAATGAAGATATCCTGCACAATTTGCTAGTAACATCTGACCCATTTATCTCATCTCTCCGACCTCGATTAGTAAAATCTATAAAACAACTGTTAATTCCTGAAGCAATGGAACTCCTAATCTTAACAGACATCGATGAAACTGTTGAAGGAGAGGAAACTCCAATGGATATCGATGCATAGGTAATTAGTTTTTAAATTTATATATTTTTCACGTTTTTATATTTAATAATTAACCGTGACTACAAGATACACCTAATAATTTTTGTACAATATGTGCGAAAAAGGGTTAGATGTATATAGCCTTGAAGGATTGCGTCATTTTTTATCTCAGTTATTGTGCTTGATATGAATAAAAAGTGTGCAAATTTATAGAACAAAATTCTAAGCAGTTCCGAAGTTATTGGCATGTCCAGTTATTTGCCTTACTCGTTCCACGGCGCGCCGTGGAGAAAGAAGAGGCCGGAGCAGACGGCGGGCGACGGCCAATCATTGTTCATATTTATTGATTATATTTGAATGAATAAATATTGTATATATAGATTAATTTACATGTCTTTATTGTTCATTCCTTTTCTGAAATTATTAATGCAATGTAGTTTTTATTCGTATAAGTTTTATAGTCGCGTACGTTATGTGTATTCATCGAATCTGTCGTAGCGTGTGACATACATTTCCGCCGATCGGCCCTACGTTGTTTCATTCATGATACTCTTTCTCTTCCTATCGCGCTGTCCTTTTCTATGTCCGCCTGGAATTAAAATCTCGCTCGGCTCGAGCGAATTCATTTTGCTAGATGGTCAGGATTGTCACAGATGTGGCAACACCGCGAAAGAATCTCTAAAATGATGTGATTCGACAACTACGCCACCTCACTTTCGTTTCTTATTCTGCATAATGACGTTAGATGTCGCACCGTCAAATGTCGTGTAGCGGAATTATTCGGGAAGAAGGATAAATAACTAGCACGTGTTGCGAGAATACTTTTTTACTTTCTTGCTTCTTCTTTTCCTTTGATACAATGAATATATATATCATAGATTCGTATGCGCTAGCTTACCCTAGACATGGTACTGCCAACCTGAAGACCGGCTGTAAAAAACCCCAGTCGAAAGTGGGGAAAAAGCCTGGTCCCAGCAAACAAATTAAACTAAAAGAATATATACATAAAATGATAAAAACAAAATATACAAAGTAAAAAACCGTGAATTAAACTAGATCTTAAAACTACCATGCACTTGCATAATCATTCACACTGTTATAAATTCGTACAATCGAGAGCTCTCTTACCAATCGTATCGGATGGTGTCCCGCCGACGTCGCAACAAATCGTCGTGGTCCTTACCAAAAAATTACAAACCCTGATCACAGGAGGCGTCCCGGCAAAGAGGACAAAGTGGCCGTAAAATCGCACCACTAACTGTACGGCTAGCCAGGTGGGCAGAATCAACCGATCGCCGAACTGTGCGCACATTTAGCCGTTTGAACCACCCACAAGATCGCCCGGCCGTGCAGACAAATGACAGCACCTAGTGCTTCAACAATAGGACACACGCACGACAGCCACAGCGCCCGTCAACGAACACCACCAGTATCAGATCCAAACCACAATTCGCTCCTTTACAAATTTGGAAAACTTGGAAAAACTTTGGGAAACACCCGCACAAATTGACCGATCACGGTTCAATGCGCGGGCCCCGTCCCGGGCCATACCCCGCCACCACCACCGACACGCCGCTCGCGCCTGCGCAGTGTCGCGTGACAACGTCCAACCGCACACCCTCACGCAGCGCCAAATTTGAAACAAACCGCTCGAGCAAGTATGCAATCGCGCGACGCGAACACGCACTATGCTTTATTTCGAAGCAAATATACCCGACTGAGAAAGCATTATATATATTCCATCCTTCTTCTACTAACCGATGTCAATGCTCAGTCGAGCCTGAAATTTATTACCCTAAACATCGGCTCCGCGCTTTCATAGACCTCTTACTCATTTCTCGTACCTCTCACTTTGCGGGCGACTTCAAACAAAGAAGAGGGGATAGCGAGTTGCTTATTTCGAAGCAGAGACCACTTGCTTATTTCCAAGCATTACTGTATATTTTTTTTTTTGTGTGTTCACCGATTACTCCGAGATGGATGGAACAATCGGAACGAAACCTTTTGCATCTTGTAGGATATGTCTTCCGATTGGTCCCAGTGAAAAATAATTTTTCATTTTTTCATTGTTATTGCAAAATAGAGGAAGCTTTTAATCTCAAGATTGGACAATTTCAATGACCTTTTAATATGTTGTCGGGGGCATAATTCTGAACAACTTTTTCATTATGCATAATTAACGGAAAGTTTTAGTTTCCGAGATATTCGTGAAAAACTATTGTTACTACTGCATTGAATTATACATATGCCTACGTGTCTCTACCGGTGTATGAGTCAGCATGCAGTCGCCGATTCTCTACTGTTTCTATATACATATGTATACTCTACAAGGCATGTACCGATTGCGATGAAACCTTTCGTATTTAATAAGAGATATTTCCGCGATGATCCCACTTGCAAAAATGTATGGAACTTGGTATCGTTAAAAACTATCGTGGTAAAACTTCGTCTTGGGGGACCAAAAATTAAGGGGTCCTTTTTTTTTTTTGTTGTTGTTTTTGACCTGAAATTTTAGAAAATACAAGTTAAATGTCCAGGAAACCAATAGTTTAAGAAATACAAGTGTTTAAAAATGTACGTATTTAGTGACATTTCAGAGGTTAGAGTGACGCCATATTGTTTCTACCCATCATCTGATTGGTTCGTTTAAGTGACTAAGTTCAAGTTACCTTATTCGAAAACATACTGCTTCTTGATTGCTGCGATCAAGGAATCCATAAGATGAATTGTGTGAGTTTTGCAGTATTTTCTCCACAAATACTCACACAGGCGATCGGCAAAGTCTTCGTCATGGAAGCGGCCTCTTCCGCGCATCCAATCCTTTGCCGGTCGCCAGTTCGCTTCAATTTGTTGCGTATGAGTTCCATCAGGCGCTGTAATTAAAAGATACACAAAACATTAATTTAATATCACACCATTGTGACCGACCGCCTTGCGGCGGCCGGAAATTTTAGTATAGCCTAACCAAACTGAAATAATTACCAACAAATTCGACGCTATGATTCACCATCTTATGGATGAATCCTTCAGCAGCGAGACCCATGTAACTCCTAAATGAGTCCGTATGGATCTCACTGCCTGCAGCAACATTTTCTTTAATTAGGGGGATCAAGGTTGCCGCTTCCCGGTCTTGAACGACAACCATTCTACAATCGTTGGTCGATGTGTCGACCATGCCAAGTACCCAGTGGCCGTCGAGTATACGGCCACGGTTGTATGTACTTCCGTTTTCCAAATTTGGCCTCGATCTGAATAATATTTTTATTCGATCTGAAATAATATTTAAAGTGTAGTAGTACAAAACAGGAATAATAACAAAATTAATTGAAAACAGTATAAAAATTACCTGTACAACGATTGCAGAACCTCCTTCATCGATCCCGCCTAATTTCGGCTTGCCCGCTTGCATTTTGCAAACGTGGTCCACTATCATCTCCCGACAGTAGCGGAACCACGCTGCAATCGTGTCCGTTGACAACACTTCCTCATCTTCTCCTACGTCGGATACCTCCGTTGCGGTAACCTCGTAGGAGAAGTCGGAAGTGAAGCAATACATAAGCCTTAAAAAAAAATATATATATATAAGAACCGATTATAAATTTAATTGAAATTAATAATCAAATGATTTCAAATGAAAATTTACTTTATTGCCTTATGTAAGGGCAGACGGACATCCTGAAAGAAGGAATCGACTGTGGCCGCGTACTGTTTGCAGTTACCGCGGCCAGCAGGGCATCGGAAACGGCCAAGACCGTGTTCCCCGCCTGCGTAAAGCTTCATGGGCCGGCGATGGGTACTACAATTTCTTGTAGTACGTAGGAGTCCTTTCTCCCTGGCCCATGAAACAGCCGATTCCTTCGAAGCGGGCAAGCTGCATAAATCATATTAAATGAAATTCATAAAAACACAGATACTACATACAAAATATACAGAAAATTAAAATGTATAAATTATATTAAAGAAAATAACACATAAAATTCAAATACCTGCATAAATTATATTTTATCGTACTCATTATATCGAAATATACAAAAAAACACAAAAAATATAAAAAACACACAAAAAATAAATAAAAGATAGAAAAAACACACAAAAAATAAATAAAAGATATAAAAAACACAAAAAAAATAAATAAAAAATAGAAAAAACACACAAAAAATAAATAAATGATACAAAAAACACAGCAACAATAAAAGACAGTTCCGACAATAATGTTACGAAGAATATAACAGTTCCATAAAAAAATTGATAGAGTTAACAAATGATACCTGAAATAAATGAACAGATTGAAATTTACGCGCGAACCTTCGTGCGAACCAATCAGAAGATGGGTAGGAGCAACATGGCGTCGTTGTAACCTGTCAAACGTCACTAAATACGTACATTTTTAAACACTTGTATTTCTTAAACTATTGGTTTCCTGGACATTTAACTTGCATTTTCGAATGTTTCAGGTAAAAACCATAAGATTTGATACTTTTCATCCAGAAATTTTTGGTCCCCCAAGACGAAGTTCAGCCACTATCGTTATTGCAATTAACCAATAAGAACGGTGAACCACCTTACGACATCCTACAAATACTGCTCGTTCCATTAAAAAGTATGAAATAAAATAAGGGTATAGTTCCGAATAGCCCCGGCGGAGGGGGTGGTCCCCCTTTGGAGGGGGGGGGGGGGGGGGGGGGGGGGGGGGGGGGGGGGGGGAGACCCCAAATATCAAACGGTATCCACATCAGACCAGTAGTTTCGGAGATATTAATTAAAAACTTTCGCAGAATACATAGAATTCTGCCTATACAGATATCACTAACACAACCATCCCCGCTGTAGAAATCGTGGTCGTCGAGTGTCAAGTAGCCGATGACACAGTAGGGGGCCTCGACCTGAGTAGGGTGTCTCATTCAGTTGTGATCATTGTACCATTGTAATCTATAGGGTGTCTCATTCAGTTGTGATCATTGTACCATTGTATTTAAAGTAATTATTCTTGTGTTTTAGGCTTTGCCCCTCCCCCGGCACCCCCGCCACGGAGAATATAACCTAACCTAACCTACTACGGTTTGATATTCGTAGACGAACAAAGTGTTACCTTCTGTTCGTATATGTATAACTGGCAAATTCGCCTTACATATGCCTTACATTATTGGGTAAAATTCTGTGTAAAGTTGTTTGCGAATATTTCGACAGCTTGTTATTTCCATTAAAAACAAAAATCATATTCGTATTCAGCATATCAAAACGAGTAAAACGATGAGATTAATGTAAACGTGAACCACAGTTTACAAAATAATGCGCTTTATATATATACGACACCATGTAGATACCCAGGTCGAGACCCCCTACTGTGCCATCGACTGCTTGACGCTTGACGACCACGGTTTCTACAGCGGGGATGGTTGTGTTAGTCATGTCTGTATAGGCAAAATTCTATGCATTCTGCGAAAGTTTTTCATTAATATATCCGGAACTACTGGTCTGATGTGGATACCGTTTGATATTTGGGGTTTTCTCCCTCCCCCCTCTTCCCCCTCCAAAGCCCATGTCGATCGGCCACCGGGGCTATTCGGAACTACAGCCTAAAATAATTTTTAACAAAAAATACAACCGACTTCGAAATGCACTAAAAAATATGAAATAATTTCTACTTCATTTATACAAATACTCAACAGCTGTTTATATTCGGGTATTTTTAATTTTGCGCCGCCTCCGAAAAGGTTGAGATGTGTTTAGTATACTATTTAACGAGTAAATAGGTTTTATTAATAGCTGTTGGGTATTTGTATAAATGAAGTAGAAATTATTTCATAATTTTTAGTGCATTTCGAAGTCGGTTGTATTTTTTGTTAAAAATTATTAAAACATCTTTTCCATAATGCTGAGATCCTTATATTATAACATTAAATCGATTTTCAATTTTATTATAAAATGAAGTGATTATTCGTCCAAATAATAATCCAAATTATAGCCAGAAGAAAAAGTATCCACAGCGCGTGTTCACCGACCGTTAAACATCTTGAGCGCGTGCAAAAACTCGCACACAATCGAAGACACGACTTGACGATGACAACAAGTTCAACGAGCGAATCGCCCTCCCAAAGTCGGCTTGCGTCGCGTCGTTTAAAATCGAAAGTTTCCACCACCATCGTTGCGTCGCTGAGCTGAACCCCCTCCACCATACACGGGCCCTTCGTCGTTCGTCGCCATTACAGAATCATTCCGAATACAACGGTCGAACCGTATGGACATATTATAATATACTCACTCGTGCGTTTCTTGGTTCAGAAAAATTAACCTATGTTAACATGTGTATAAACGTGTGTTAGGTCTAGCTAGTTATTCAGTTTTACTAACTAACTTTTTGTAATTATACTTTGAAATTTCATTAATTTCGGTTGTCGGTTTTTTTCTGTAGCTGTTTGTTCGGGTATCGAGACAAGTTCTGAAGTTGCGAATTCGGTGCCCGTTTTTCGCGAAGAAGGCTTTATCGAAGAATCATCGTTTTTGGTCGACGTTTCTTTATGTGGAAACGAAAACTGCAAGCAAATCGAACTTGGAAAACGTTATTACCCTCAACCTGCGGACTACGGGCATCTTCGAATTCTGGTAAGTGATACAGTTTCTATTTCCTTTGACATTGTATCTTTGCATGAAAATTTTCATTCTGCGTTTAATAATGATTGGCGTCGGCAGAAGCGAATTAAGTGAAGGGGGCATTTTCCACGATACATAGAAAATAAGCCAATTTCAAGTTCATTTTTCTCAGAATTTACTTTAGGCATCAATTTCAAATTACTAGAGCATCTAGTGTATCATACTAGATGCGTACTTGAGCTACAGGAAATATTGAAATACGGAATAGAAAAAATTATACAATCTTATAAATGTGTGGATTTATTTGTACTCTAACCTTCAACATAAAAGATGTTGCTAATCTTATTGTAAGCCGAATTTCAAAAAAATCTTTTCCTAAAATATGTGTTACCCTTAATAGTAAAAGCCCACGGAATTGTAACTAAATCGGCCGAATGAATACTGAGAAAAACGAACATAAGTACAGGAAAACGTGTGATTTTATAAAGGCAGCATTTTTCTAAAATTTTGCCTCTATCAGTAACTCACGCTTAACTTTGTGAACAATTCTCAAAAATGGTTTATTATTAAATAAAGAAATAATTTGATTTTCGGACTCCCAAAATGCCCACTTTTTTAAAGATTTTCTGGTGCCCCGGGATTATCAAACTTTCATGGGCACTCATAGTTGATAAAGGGTATAGCCGGATAAGATGGTCAAAAGTGCCCCCAAACCAAATTCGACTTGCAATGGCTCATTTGATAGCTTATCAAAAAGCTAAATATACAGAAAAAAAAAAATCAGCGTGAACAGACTCGAACCTACGAAAAGCCTAGCAGCGGTTTAGCAGTCAGGCGCCTTAACCGCTGGACCAACGACACCGTTGGAAATCCTTTCGATTTTTTGATATATATAGCACATAAAGTACTCTCAATAATTCTGGTTTATTTAGTTTTTTAAATTCTTATTGTGTTTCACTGTACGTAAAAACATTGAACATTGTATAACACACTTACTTGATAAAGAACAGACGAAAATTCGCAGTACAAGTAACTCTGACACGCAAAAAACAGCGAAAAACTCAGTTTTTAATTTTTTAACTATGGCGCACCTGACCAAAAATTCTCAAAAAAATTGAGAATAATAGTATCGATAATATACACTTATGAAAAAAATATGAATCTAGATCCGCGACTCCTTCTATACAAAATCGCCATTTTTTCCGAATTTTTAGACATTTTTGATTTTTCACGGCTTCAGTTTTCAATCTAAAAATCTGAAAAAATTCTGTAATATGTGCCTCACAAATAGAAATGTCTCTGATTTTTTTCCGAATTTTCGAATGTTATTAAAGCGGGAGAAATTGGCAAAAAACCTCGCAATTACATTTTTACCCGTAACTACCCTCCCAGATAACATACAGAGTTGAAACTTGGCACAGACTAGTTTTTCTTGATCACCTATCGAATGGTTCATAGCAAGTCGAATTTGGTTTGGGGGCACTTTTGACCATCTTATCCGGCTATACCCTTTAGTTGGAAAATTGCAATTAGTTCAAAGTACTGTACTGGATCGATAACACTGTCCAACACGAATTTGTTTTACCAATAGCCAGTGGGTGATCGTTGTAGAGCTTCTCGTCCTGAACACGAATCCGAAAACCGAATTGCTCTATCACCCTCAGTTTTCAAAAAACACGAGTTTTTGTAAAAACATGTATTTTGGGGGGAAAATGACGTATTACGCGGAAACTAAAAGCGCTAGAACGTTCGCATTGGTCTCATAAGATAGAAGAGAGTTTCCCGAATACATTCATATATATAGTTATTATATTACATGGTTCTGAATAGATGTAAATGTTGATGAAAGTTTAAAAAATAGCCGGCGCACGTATTTCGTACGTATTACTTTTGTATTTTTAAGAAAAGTTTTCTATCTAGCGCGAATTCTCTATACAGTACCGAATTCTGTAGACATTTCCGAAGAAGAAACTATATGGGGGTAAGTATTGGAGCAGTATGCACTTCGAGTAAATCGAAAAAATATCTGCCGGTGACGCGTGCACGGCGTTTTGCCGCCAAGCGGCCATAGCTCGCTCTCTTCGCCTAGTCAGTGCCGTAGCTACGCGTAATCAACACTAATGGTGGGGTTTAATATACATTCACCTTTTATATCTATAATGTTTGATTTTTTTTTTTGCTTTTATTATTATTTCATAATTATTATTTCTCTTTTGTTGTTATTCATCATTATTGTTAGATACCAACAATAAAATGATAAAATACTTTAATTTAAAATTTTAAAATCGATTGACGAGCATTACGACTTTATCAATCGACAGTCGATTGAAGACAATTTTGAAATTTGTTTATGATATAGAAAGAATAAAATGTATAAGATAAAGAATTACCTGCAGTAAAC